TCTTTCAGAGAATAGAGAATACCTCCTTTATCTAATCAAATTGTACCATCCTAATCCAGTGACTGTGGGTAACAGTGGTACACTACAGATTTGCCTTTAAGAATGGTGGTGTTAGGTGGAGACAACCTAATAGACTTCAGAGTTGTCTAGTGTAATGTGTTTGCAAGGTACTAATCACGTTATCAAGTATGAGGTACGATAGTTGGCAGGTGGCCTGCTCTCCCCAAGAGGAGGTAAGAGCTGAGAACTAAAGGAGGCTTCAAGGGTGTACTGAGAAACACGGAGGTAACCGTTCAACCAAGTATATTGAGATAGAGTCTGTCAAAGTCTGCCTTTTTCCATCGTGGAAACAATTGGTCTTTAAGTACACAAATCTTGTTCATGTCTAGCATGAACGAAACTAATCAAAGGTATCAAGCGATACTCTTTGGTAAAACAAATCAAGTATCAAAATGATACTTAAAACAAAATATAAAACAATACTAAGTATCAAAGCCATACTTAAAATAAAACATAAAACAAAACTAAGTATCAAATGATACTTAAAACAAACCAAGTATCAAAGCGATACTTAAAACAAAACATAAAACAAAACTAAGTATCAAATGATACTTAAAACAAAATATAAAACAAAACTAATAACTGAGTACACATATCAGTTATATCTAGGCCAATCAAGGTTTGTTTCTGTAGACAGAGATTGTCTAGGAAGGCTCATATTCACTTGTTTAGTTTATGACTACTAAGAGTGAAGCAGAATAAGTAAAGTAAGGTAAAATCATAAAAACAATATTATATTGTTAAGGTCTCTTCTCTGTTGCTTGATGATATCTAAAGCTTGAAAGACACTTCAATATTTATATTCCATGTCTGAGTGTTCACGGACTACATCTTTATATTATACAACTATGTGCCTCTATGATTATAACTTGCAACATTGGGTATTCTTAAAAGATGAAAACACCTGAAGACCCTGAAAATTACCACATGCTCTTCAGTAATTATGATATAACTAACTGAAGACCAGACTATTTCCAATAGTAATTATCCGATCATTAGAGTCTTTAGACTTATGGCCTAGTTTTCAAGTTAGACTGAGTTGGCTCCAATTGTCTCCGTTATTGATGAAATTATCAGTTTCATCTACAGGTTGTATCTGCGAAGGTAGTCATAATCACAACCTTTCTAGGTCACCTGACTTCAAACCTTCATAACTCCCTACCCAACTAACAGATATCTTCCAGAGAACTTCCTACTAATTTGCAGGAGGCTATTCCACCAGATTGACAAATAATCCCTCCATTGGCAACTCTTGGTTACTCTGGGTAACATAGTTTCAATCACTTGTTGTAGTATTGGGGGCCATCCCTACAGCTACAATATATTCCAAAACCTAGTTGTAACACTCCATGAAGTCCATTGGCTTCTATGATAGTGTCCCTCAGAGTTCTAGACTCTTCTAGTTATGGTAGGATGGATACAAATATATTGGTCTCTCATTGAGATCCTTTATCATTTGCTACCATCTCATCGTGCAAAAATGTCCCATTATGTACGGTCTATGTCAAAGATATCACATCTTTGAAGCCTAATAACTCTCTGAGTAGTTGATGGATTCACTCCATTCCACTTCCCAGACCTAGCCGAATGTCCCCTCTCATATATCCTGTGAATGGGATCTGGTTGGAAGGACAGTAGTGACGTATACAGTGTTATTCTGACACCTTCAATTCTATGGCATTATAGTCACAGGACACAACTGAGATTGATATGTATGATGATGTGTGAGCCCTGTAAGGAGGCTGGAGGGGGGTGTTGGAGACCAGGGATTCCAATTCCGAGTGGGGTTACCCTACTTAGGGTGGTTCCTAGGTGTCGGATCCCAGTATTCCTAATAGGTGGGAATAGGTCCGGATCTATCAGGACCTACAGACATCTGTGGGGATCTGTCATGACCTATGGGGATCTGCGGGTATCTGACTGGCCTCAGATTCTGAGACATTCTGAAACTGGTTGTGGGGCCCCACGGTCTTCCCCGTCCTCCGGCCATTAGCCCCGGGCAAAATCTCTCTAGCCCCAGACGGGACTACGATTCGTAGTCCGTCCTCGTCCTACCCTCAGGACGGACGGACTGCCCCGTTGCGAACAATGGTTATAACCAGATTCAATGATGGGAATTTGACAGGGAAGGAATTGGCAGCGTCTATTGATGATTTCTTGAAAGCACCAGGTAGGCTATGGAACTGGGGGGGGGCAAGATGGTGGCCGGACGGAGGCGGACCTGACAAATGGCTTGGATGCCGACTTCCCACCGTTCCCACGGAAATGGTGATTTCGGAGGACACCAGTTAAAAGATCCTAGAGCCGCAGGGCTGGGTTCATTAGACTTAGTGTGGGTTTGGGTGACACGGGTCTGCCGATCGTATCGATAAAACAATTCGAACGCTTAGAGGAAGTCTGGAAGTTCGGCCAGACGGCCAACGTTTCACTAGCAATGGTAGAGTGGAGGAGCCAGCTCCCTCCTTCCGGTACCAGATTTCGCACTCTTAGTATAAAAAACAGAGGTTCTAGCACGAAAGTTTGACTATATAATCTAATAGGAAAAGACATAAATCTTAGCAGCAGAGTGGCCAACAGGTATTTGAAGAGGATCTATCACAATGCCCCCAGAACAAAGCAATGAACTCCGGTATTCCTCAAACGTGAGGGGCCCCTCCAAATAAACACCAACCAAGGAGATACCCCCGGCAACTCGGACAATTCCAAAATGGATTGACTCGAGAGGGAAAACATTGGAGTGGGAATAAGACATGCAGAGCATATTGAAGATAAATATGGAAGGGAGATGAAAGATAAGAGGAAAAAATATTATAGAACTTAATTTAGGTTTTAGTAGAATTGGAGGCTCCGACCCTCTAGAAAGAGAGGGAAAGGTTTAATTATCCCGGCTTCTACGGCATGGTGTGATACAGTACGATGGAAGCTTTTTCACTGAGTGTGATGATGGGTTCCCTTTGCCACACTGAGCCTCCCCTCTCCACGTTTTGGTAAGGTAGCCTAAACACTGCTGAGGTACCAGTACCTGCATTGCAAGGTCTTGGATGGGAGAACTATCGATTCAAGTATGATATCATTCCGCAGAATCCACACCACTTAGAGCCGCCAGCCGTCAGCACACTGCACGCCGTGCCCTGCTCCCCAAAAAAGCGGATTCTCAACAGCGTCAGTCGGCCCCACCCCTCCGTACTTACAGGATGCGCCTGTCATCCCCGGCATTTCTCACGATTCCTTCCCTACTTCCTCTTGCGCTGTACAGTACTATAGTTACAGCTTGACCTGGGTAGTAAGAACTATGATGTTAATTGCACAATTTCTCCTATTATGATACCGATAGAAAGGTAGTCGTTAATATATATATACCCTCAATGCAAGGTATGATATTTTTAATTTTAAGATTTTTCCTAAACTGAAAACCCCATTTTTTTTGTTACTTTTGCGTCAGTACAAGCAGACAGACTGCCCCATGTATGATACATTGGGGTTTTGTCAGTAATTTGTGCCTGTCCCAAATGGGATTGGTGGTACAGCACTTGAGTGTCTCTGGGGTCACGGTAAGTTTCGCGATTCTTGGCTGCGGTGCTTTCAACTGGTACAATCCACCGGAGTTTGCCACTTTCTAATTTACCCACTTGGGTACTGTACTCCAGCACAGTTACCCCACCCAAGGCGCTACTGCCCAATAGTTGCTTAGCCATCTCCGAGGCCAGCACAACACCTCCCTCTTGTCTGCTAACTGAGGGAATTCCAAACTTCTCAACTCAAGTCATATCTCTGCTTATCATACTCGAGTACTACTTTGTGCATGAGATTTAGAGTATCTCATTGGTACTTTTGGCAAGTAGTCATCGCAACACTTGTACATTCTTTTCTTTTTCTTTTTGTAAAATTAATGATTGCACTACTTGTATTGGTCATGTTTCACCTAGATCTCATTCGAAGCCAAGAGCTTCTTTCAGCTCAATTATCCGACCTCTCACATCAAAGCCTGGATGATGTTGTGCCTCTAGCCGAGTGCATCACAATTACAGATACCCTACCCCCAAAATAATTGCGGGGTCAATTTTGCGCTCACGGGGGCATCGCGAATAGGCGAGTATAGGAATATTTCATGATATCCTAAAACATAAAGTCCCGGTATCTTATCAAAAGCAGAGATATGGCGTTTTGATCTTTGTCTTCTAAGAGTTGGCTTTCGAGTATCGTTAGCCATAAGCTCCCGCTCGAGGTTTCCGCCTGCTCAGGGTCAAATTTTGGAGGTTGGGGGTCTAACTTTTTGGCAACATCCTAAGAGATCAGGTGGCTGCTTATTGGCCACAATTTTACTTTCATCTGGTGCGACCTGAAGTCCCGTTACCAAGACAAAGGGTCCGGTTTTCAATTTCTGGCCATTTTTTCAGCAGTGATCACCCTGTGGGGCAAGGCATGCTGAAGCGATACTTACCAGGAAGGGTGATTATGGCAGCCAATACGACAGAGTTTCGTAGGCCGCGGTGACCACCTCTGCTTCGACGAGCTACCACTCGAATAGTTTTTCGATGTCGGTAGTTGAGTATGCCATTTACTCGTACTCGTAGACAAGTGCATGGGTTACAGGTGCACTTTCGGCCGATTGCGGAGACAAATTCCGCCATTGTACTAGTACTCCAGTCAAGTCTGTTGAACTTGCCACGTAGTGACTGGGGCCCACCCCACCAGAAACAAGCCCTCTGCGCACGTTCCGTATTAGGGCGTTTGCACTGTGTTTGTGTGTTCAAGTCACTTATTAGTCAGCAGTATACTGGTGTTGGCATCCTGCGTCCACGGAAAGTGTTAGGAGTTAGCTTAAATAATCTTAGAGGCACCTATTTATACGGGATACCCAACGTCTAGGATTTGGGTTTCTGTGAACACCTCAAACTCCAACTTTAGAGCTATTTCTAGAGCTCTCCTCGCTTATCACAATGTCGTATAGCAAAATTCCATCAAAACCCTTTGACACCGCACAAACCCCCACAGATGAATACAGTGCAAGTGAGCCGTTGATAAAAGGCCCTAAGAAGGGGTCACGGAAGCCATTCAGCAGTGATGACCAGCCCCGCCGGAACCGTATCCTGCTCGCTCGGGGATTCTCAACCACCTTCGCCCCCCTTGTCCTCCTCGTGATCTGTCTTTGGATATTTTCCAAAAAGCGCTCGATGAGCAAGTTGGAGCAAAGGTCCTTCAATACACTATCAATCCTACTCACAGCCACCGCGAGTTTGGGTCTTGGATCGCTCTTAGGGCACCTGGGTTCCATGCTCAGGTGGCCCATACTTGCCCGAACAGTACATCAAATGCAAGATGTGTGGTAGCTCACTTCTCAGCAAAGGCCTTTGTTAACTATCAAGATAGGTGGACTCAATACTAGGCATGTCGCCACCAGCTGGCGCCCTCCGACTCATCAAGAGACACATTCGAGAGCGGAGAATATCGCGAACCACGTTTATCGTCACTGCATACCTCCTCACAAATGTGATTGGTAGATTGAGCGTGGCTAATTTCGGTTTGACTTTCAATATGACGGATAAAAAAGGGATCGAGTATCCAGTCCTTGCGACAAATTGGACATCAGCTTTATGGACTAGACGAATATTCCCCAACGGGACCACTAATTCCGCGGTGGACAAAAATAGCGGGGAAGGTAGGGCCACAACACTCTAGACTCGGTGTTGCGGCAATGAGCTAGGACTAACGTCTCGAATAAGAGTTCTTGAGTTCGTCATGGAGTGGATTACAGAAGTACGCCAAATCCCCTGACTGGGCTCTTGAGAGCGCTAGGCTCCGTACTGGAGACGACATAACCCCCTACATAGAGCCTGATCTCCAAGTGCAAAACACTGCTCTCAACGTGAACGGGAACACTGTTAAATATTCGTACAATTTGAAGGATTTCAAGGAGGGATATGCTATACCATCAAACCATACTGTTCACTCCTCTGCAAACTGCAGCTTAATAGAGGTTAGCGATGGTCGATATTGGCGTTGGGCTAATGGGAATAGAACTGGTCCCTTCAGTACGTAAGACTTTTGCCACCACTCAATAATGCATGGCACAAGTGTCGGTGAAGCTAAAATTTGATTTGGGGAATTAGCTTGGGGTAGGAAGAACAATACCGATGTTGGGGTGGTACCCGAGGTACTGCAGCTAGCGAATGATACCATGGTCACCCAGTCCTTTCCGTCCTTTGAAGTCTACTGGGTGTCAATCCTGGACCTTTTGAATGAAAGAAGCGTATTACCCCAGATTTGTGGGTACTACTTTCCCATGGCCAGAGAGTCTCGGAGCGTTAACTTCATATATCTCCAGATATCCTATGCTCGAATATAGCCTGGGAATGTTGGCCAACCCTAACTGAAACCATTGGTGACAATGAGTCACACCAAATCCCACCCCATGAAAGGCTTTTTCACCCCGCAAACCTATATCAGCTGTTGGCAGTGAGAAACGGGATATACTTTGACCAGACCGATGAGAATTACATTTCTCTGGGCAGCTTTAGTAGCTCATCGATTGGAGTGGAAACAAATAGTGGAGCAAAAGAGCTTTGCGGTTTTGGTTTATTTGACTCCCCAAATCAGACAGTATTTGATGGTTATACCCTTTGGATGGCGGGCCTAGTAGCTCGGCGACTGACCGCAGCCATAATGTATGCGAACACCGATTTACCCCAGTTCGCGCGAAGCCAACGCCCTAATCAGACCTCTGGCACCGTATACCTACATACAACCTTAGAGGTACACTGGCTCCGTGTTGTCCTCATATTGGTTAGCATTACGAGCGGTATAGCCCTGGCGACCCTTACTGTCCTCTACTACTGCGCTGGTATCTACACCCGAGACGATAGTTACTTAGTGACCGCGGAGCTATTGAAAACAGTTATCAATAGATTTGATGGTGGGAAATTGATGACGGGGGAGGAATTGGCAGCGTCTCTTGATGATGTCTTGAAAGCGCCAGTTAGCTATGGGACTAGGAAGGGCAATGATGGTTGCCCGTCAGAGGTGGACCTGGCAAGTGGCTTGGGTACCAACTTCTCACCATTTCCACAAAGAAGCAATCCTAGTGGAACAGCGGTTAAGAGACCTGAGAGTTGCAGTGACTGATTCCTCTGATATGGCAGAAGTTTGGAAGACGGAGGTTCGGCCGATTATGCAGATAAGACAATTGGAAACAGTTGGGGGAGGTTTGAGTGCCCGGCCGGCCAAATTTTCACTAGAGATGGTAGGGTGGGAAGATATTTTTTAAAAAAATGAGGGCCAGTGAATGGAGTTTCCTGTTTTAGTATTACCCCGTTCGACACCAGTTTCGATTGCCGAGTGATTAACTGCAATGAGCAACTTGAATCCGCCCGTTGGCTAGTAGGATTCGCACAGCGCCCTTGCAACCCTCCTATGCGGCGGCGTGGAGTAGGTTGTAGTATTTCTAGTTAGTGATTTGGATAGAGTGGAAAAGCCTAACTCATAGAGGAGCTACACCGAGATTACATTGTCGTCGTGTTGTTCTACCGCTTTGCTATTTATCTCCCCACTTCTAAAGCTGCGGATTCTGAGGCCGATCGGGGGTTTAGGCCCGAGGGATAGGAGGGGTAGAATGCCCTGCCGCCGTTAGAGCTTTGGCCTACTGTGGAACATGCTGTTGGTGGGACGAGGGGGGGGTAGGAGAACCGCAAAGCCCCGGCTTTTTTTAGAAGGGGTTCACATATGATTGGTGGTGTAGTTCTCTAGCTGTTTCGAGAATAGCTCAGTTCGGGAGGGTGCGGATCCCCATTCCACTTCGCGCGTTCTAGAGGAAGAATGGTTGGAGTTTGACATTCGTGAACTGTGGTTGTGGGGAATGTCTATTCAAGGACTTTAATTTACCTAGTGTAGATAAGGTCGTGCAGTACTACAGGAGATACTAGTGGCTGAGCCACGGCAGATCCCATACTAACCCATGGGTAGCAAATAAGGTGAAGACGGTATAGTAGGGGTGGGAATCGACAAGAGAGCCAAACATTCCTCTCCCGTGCCGGTGCTCTCCCAATTGCGGATAACGCTCTTATACTGTAGAGTAACCCCCAAAAGAGGGAAAGCAACTTGGAAATTATATATGAGAGCATCACAAAAATGAAACAATTAATCTAAAACAGCTGATGTTCGGGGTGTGTAATCATATCGTGTCACTCGTCGGGAACGATGAAAACGAAGGAGATAGGTGTGTGGCTTAGCTGAGAAGTCGTCAGACAGGGTACGAAGTATCATTTGGAGTAAAGCGCTTAAAGCGACTATCATGCGAAGCCTGTTTCATTCTAAAATGCTTCTATTTGTAGAAGTAAAGGACTATAGATATAAATAAAAATCCGAAGGTTAACTTATGATACAAACCCGATTCTGCAGCCAGTTGGATTTCTACACCCAAGTTTAATACATCACAGATACTAGTTAGATAATACGTTAGCATAGTGCTTGGCCACTTCCGCTGTATTCCAATAGCAGTAGCCTGTTACTTCAGTATCACCTCTTCCATATTGGAGCCCTAAAAGGATCAGAATCGTCCAACAGAATCAGGGGGGGACTCTCTCTTTGACGTATCATACCACCGTGGATGGCAGGCATACTCTGATCCAGGGACTGTACAACTCCAGCTTGATGGAAATGCAGCTCGGCACGCTTTGGTTTTTTAGTTTCTTTTGTTCTTTGGAAGTACGGGTATTTTCCAGGGTGGGTAGGTATTATGGAGAAATATTTCTTTTGTACGGGAAATATGCAGAATGTTTTTTTGTTATCTTATAGAAGATTGACAGAAGGAAGCGGACATCAGTGGTAATGGAAGGAAGGTTCAGAATAGTGCTATGTTTTTTATATATACTCCCGTTATTGACGTCGGCTGGGTAAGTAAGCCTAACACAATTTAAGCTACTTACTATCCTCTCCCACTGTTCTCCCTCATGGTGGTGCCGTATTTTGTTATTCTGTTTAAGACAGCTTCCATCCACACCCCAGAAGAGTTACCAAAGAGGCATGTGGAGATAGTGGTACTTGTAGCAGCTCCTGACTCTGGCCAGCAGCCCTGACAGACCACAGGACGCTCTTGTGCCAAGCAGCAAGGGGACTTGTTGGACTTTGCTCTACTCCATCCGCGTCTCATCATGGATATCAAAACTAGCTGCAGGCGCGGTAGCCCGGTGGATTGTGCTTTCGACGCCGGGAGTTCACCTGACAGAGAGTTATGTCACCATAGTATCAGAATCTGAATTGCACAGCATTGAAGATAACCCGATCCGACGAACACGTGGATACGATGTGGTTAATCGGAGGTTGGCAAGGGATTAGCGGATCGGTAGGTGTGTCAAGACTGATGACAGCAAGTCACCAAGCCGCGGCCGCCCCCGGGGCAGAACATAGGAGAATTGTGGGCTAAAGGCACAAATCCCACGGGGGGTATAAAATACGTAAAAAAATGGTCAAAAAATTTGAACTGATTTCAGTTTTGTGCAGGAAACATTGTTATAGTAGGGTGCGGTGTGGCAGGAGGGAGATCAATGATAGGGGATTGAACATCAACGTTTCAAAATTTCATTTTTTCCCATTTGATACCACTTGCTCTTACAAATAGAGGGGTCCCACGAGGCAAGAGGCTCGATAGATGTTTTTGAGAACTTTGCATTATATTCAAGCACATATAGATACACCTTTGACCGACTATGAAGACAAATTGTGATTTTTTATACGTTTGTGCCAAGTCACCCACCCGCCCGCAGTATACTGGTATCATACCTGCATCCTACATCTCTGGTCAAGCTCCTCGATTAACTTGCGTGGCCTTGAGGGTCACCACTCACAAAGCTGCCAACACCCAGGATTTAGGTCTCAGTGGGCACCCTAAACACCATCTATTCAGTTATTTCGAAAGTTTCCCTCATCTCGTACAATGTTTGCCAGGTCCTATTAGGGTGCTCTGGCAACTTGCAATCAGTGCCTCAGAGCAATAGTGAAGGGGGGTCGGTGATAGCAAGCTCTGAGAAGCAGCGACTAAAATCATTCAGCACTGATGGCCAGCTCCACCGGAACCACATCTTACCCGCACAGGGGTTCTCGCTAACCTTTTCTCACTTGTCCTCCTTCTGATCTGCCTTCGGGAATTTCCCCAATTGCAGCCATCGAGCAAATGGGAGCAGCGGCTCTTTAATACAGTATCAATCCTTCTCACCGCTATTGCCAGTTTTGGTCTCGGATCGCTCCTAGGGAACTTGGGTTCTATGGTCAGGTGGCCCTTACTTGCCCGGACGGTATATGAAACCCAAGATGTGGGGTAACCTTCCCCCCGTAACTTTAAGACTTTTGTTAACTATCAAGATAGGTAGACTCAATACTTGGCATGTCTCCACCAGCCACCCTGTTACGACTCATCTAGAGACACATCCAAGAGCGAAGAATATTGCGAACCACCTTTATTGTGGCTGCATATCTCCTCAGAAGTGTTGTTGGGAGATTGAGCGTGGCTATTTTCGGCTTGGCTCACAACATGATTGATAAAACGGGGATTGGGTATCCAATCCTTGCGACAAATTAGACATCAGCTTTATGTATTGGCCAGATTTTCTTCAACAGGACTGCCGGTACCTGGGAGAACGAATATGCCAACAGAGAAGGCGAAGATACCATACCCTAGGCTCGGTATATAGCAATGAACCTGGACTAACATCTCTGATAAACGTTATTGAATTCGGCATGGAATGGATTACAGGAGTACACCAAGCCCCGGGCTCGGGTTGTGGCAACAGTAGCTTTCGTATTGGAGATGATGTAAGTCCCTAAATACTTACCATCCAATCTCCAAATGCCAAATACTAAGCTGGACCTAACCTGGGAAACCACAATGGGATATCCTCATATTTTAAAGGATTTCAAGGAAGATTATGCTATACCATCAAACCATACTGTTCACTCCACTGCAAACTGCAACTTAATCCAGGTTAGCAAGAGCCAATATTAGCGCTAAAGCAACGAGAATAGAACTAGACCATTCCGTACTGTTGGAGATTCGTTATTCTCAGCTACTCACCATATACATATTTTCCCATTCGCGGAGTCACACGAAACGGAACCACTATGATCCACTACACATCCTTCCTCACCAGCGGTTTCACTATAGTTAGCTTCATACATGGCCAAACATCCACCCTGCATTCACAGTGCGACAACCACAAACACCGAATCACCTACCATGAAACGCGAGCGGTACTGATGCCGAACAACAACCATATCCTCGGTCACCTCGGATAGAATTCGGCACTGCAGGGTGAAAGGAAGTAGAGCGGAAAAATCTCATGTGAGATTAGGCATGCGCAGGCAGCATGCTAGGACAGGAGGTTTTCTCTGGAGGAGGATAAAAGGCTGTCTTGTTTTCCGCTTGTTCACTTGTTTTCATATCAGTTCTTCATCACATTCATTCGTTATTTGGTCAGACGATTTCCTATTACTCTGTTATGCTTTTGTTCTTTACTTCTCCATTCTCTTATTACAACATCTCTACTCGTACCAATAAAAGTTTTGTGTCCTTCGGTCTACAAGGATTAGATCCGCTGTGCCCCACCACCCGTTAGTTGTTGAAAACGTAGGTAATATTTTGTCACCACTCAATAATCCATGGATAAAGTGCCAATGAAACTGAATTCTGATTTGGTGAATTAGGTCGGGATAAGGGGGACAATATTGAGGTGGTATCCTAGATACTGCTGATATCAAATAATGCCAAGGCCCTCCAGTACTGGGAAACCCGCTGGATACCATCCTAGACAACGTGTGTGGAAGCAGTGTATACCCCAAGATCTGTTATCATATTACTATTTATCCTTGGCAATGTATGGCCTCGAGAACTGACATCTTGGTGTCTCTTGGTATTCTATGAGAAAATATTGCCTGGGAATGTTGGCCAACCCTAACCGAAATTGTTGGTGATAATAAATCACACTAAATTCAGCCTCATGAAAAATTTGATGGCGAATTGTTGCAGCGCAGCGGAACGATTGATCGACAATGATGGGACTCGTGTGAGTTCACCGCAGAGTGAAGGATGGTTGGAGTAGAGAGTGTGTTTTCGATGTTAGGTACAGAGAGAAAAACTCAAGAGAAAGGAAGGAATGAAGCTTCATTAAATACAGTTTGTGGTGGCTGACATCCCACATATGCACACCACCCAATGTGTCTTCTTCAGGACATTAGACCTTGCTGTGCCCCAACCCAATTCCAATACTATTCCACGATGGGATTACTCCATCAAAATTCTTTCACCCTACAGACCTATACCGGCTGCTGACAGTGGACATCAAGTATCTTACTCATTGGTCCAATAAGAGTTATATTCATCTGAGCAACTTTGGTCGCTCATCGTTTGTGGGACGGAATCCGAGGATAGGATGCCCGGCATTTGCAACAACCGTTTGTTTGAGCCTCAGAATAAGACGGTCCCGAATGGCCACCGCCGGGTGGGTGGCCTACTAGTCCGACTTCCGATCCTCACCATAACGCACGCAAATGCCGCGCTACTCAGGTTTGCACGGGGCCCCTCGCCCCAACCAGACGACTGGCACCACATATCATACCTACATACAATCTTGGAAGCAAAACCGTTCCGCTCCGTCCTCGTAGCAATTAGCATTACCCGCTGCCAAATCCTGGCGACCCTTGCTGTCCATCGCTACCGCACTGGCGAAGAAGGGGCATTTTACATGCAAAACACCTAGATAGGCAAAAACACCCTAGTGAGCAAAGAACTAGAGTGAGTCAACACCTGTGGGAGCAGGCATCAATGCTTGGGATTCCGAGTAGGGTCTTGGTAGTATATACAGTAATAGTGAAGTGGTACGAGAGGGTCATAGGATCTCACACGATTGTACATTAGTTCATGTTTTAGAATTTGTTGAACTTGGCAGGGATAGTCGGTACAAAGGAAATGATCGATACTGGGGACTTGCGCAGTGGAAAGAAGTGGCTCAAATGGGATTGATAAAACTTTGTATTGAGAGGAGACAAGAACAAGAACAAAGATGAGATGAGATGGATAGCAGGAAGAGAACTGAGAAAGTTGCATACAGGAATGAAACGAGCGAAGAAGGTTGTCTGAGAGGAAGAGGAACACAGGGGGTGAGAAATTTTTACTGCATACGCATCCCCATACTAGCATACACACGTACCACCGTAGTCTCAAAGTATGGTCACTCAACCACCATTTTCAACATCAAGCACTAGCATGTCTGATGAGCACTATAAAAAAGGTTTCTCAGGTTAAGATTTCTAGAAACACCCCCCCCCCCCAAATAGAACTTTAACGTACAGCAGCAAATAACGCGGCAGTGGAGTGAACTGCCTAAATTGGAAACAAGAAGGGATAAGAAAAAGGTGGACATAAACTTCGCTTTCTTGTTCAAAAATATAATGCCGGTACGAATGGAATGGGCAAGAGTATAATGTACAGAACATAAAACCACCCGGAGTCTTCCACGGATTTTCACACATATCTCTATCCAAGAGACTCGAATGAGGCTCGAGCCGGCTCGGCTCGTGAACAACACTACTGAGGAGATGCCAATTCACAGTTGAAGACATATCATGCACAGGTTCTGCCCGCTACCCTGTGCATGAGATTTAGCATATATAATTGGCACTATTGGATAGTGATAGCAATCCTTGTACTTTCTCCCTTTCTTTCCCTGTTTATTTGTAATATCAATAATCACAATGGTGGCGTTTCGCATATATATATTACTCGACACCAAGATCCCCTTTCAACTCGGGTATCCGACCCCTCACATCAAAGCCTGTATGATTTTGTGCCTCTAGCCGAGTGCATCACAATTACCGATACCCTACTCCCAAAATATTGCGGGGTCCATTTTGCGCTCCTAGGAGCATTGCGAATACAGGAATATTTTCATGACATCGCACAAATGAAGTACAGGTTACGAGTCTTATCAGAGGCAAAGGTATGGTGTTTCACTCTTTGTTTTGCACGAGCTAGCTTTCGAGTATCGTTGGATATAGGCTACTGCCCAAGGGCTTCAACCGCTCAAGGCCAAAACTTGGAAGTTTGGGGTCTGAGTTGTCAGCAACATCCTGAGGTTGGGCGGTTGCTTACAGGCCATGATTTCTCTTCATCTGGCGCGACTTGGGGCATGGTTGCCGAGATACAGGGTCCCGTTTCCAATTTTTGGCCCTTTTTTCAGCTGTCATTTCCCTATAGAGCAAGGCATCTTATAGTAGTATTTACAATAACCCCTAAGACTGTTTCACCACGGCCCGCTCCCGATCCCTTATGGACTCAACCGAGTACGAGTACAAGTACCGGTACTGTAAAAACCCTCATCTACCCCAGATCCCCTAATCAGAGATAAAATAGCTCGAGAAGGAATAGTGTTGTCCAGACTGGGTATATCTTGGGGAGGCTGGGCTTGCGGGATCTCATTACCGTAATTTACCGTAACTGATATTCAGTACAAGTACCGGTACTTTGACTCACTCTTCTAAACCCCTTGTGGTTGAGAGAGTGATCCCTGTTGAGATCTCCGATAGTGGGTCCAAAGAGTTTTTCTGGCATATTAGGGGTCCTCAAAGTGGGATTGATTGGCTAAGAGCTGTCAAGTCGACCGAGAAGCATGAGGGGGCGATTTCCACTCAAGTCGGTCCCCCGGTTCTACTGTAACGAGGCTTCCTCCTCCCCAAAGAGTCAGTTAGCACCATGAACTATCATGATTGCTTCCCCATGTGGAGGGCAAGGGATGCCCCACAACCACCATTTCTATTTTTTAGGCTTGGCCAGGAGAAATCTCTCAGTGACCTTTGAAGGGGCACTCAAAGCCTGACCAGGAATTTTAGATGTGATTGGCCAGACAAATCCCAGCTGGATTAAGAAATAACCGTTGCCATTCTACTTTGAGGACCCCTACTGTATGCTCCAGTCCAGCTGGTTGAACTTGCCACCAGAGTGACAGCCAAAGGGCGAAGAGTCCCAGGCCAAAGGCGAGGGAGGGGAGGGATGGGGCTACGGTATTAACTGAGGAGAACCACCAGACACTTTTACCTTGAAATTAGAAGCGCCCCAGGTGAAACTCACAATTGCCTCATGATCAGAGCTTAGTCAAGGCTATAGAGTTGGCCTATGGCGTTTTATTGCGATTTCGAGACAAAACTCGGTTAAAAATCTTATTTGAACATACTAGCGCCAGGCAGTTCTCCTCAGCTAATTCGGTACGTAAAAACTCTTGGAATTCGCCGTGTCACGAATATCCCTGTAAATCGCTACTTCAACATAAGATAGGTTTAGCTTAGCAAGTTAAGGGAATCGCGAAAACCAGTTAATGAGTTGCAATACTGTCTACGACTCGGGCTATCCCATGTCAGGAGGGCATTAATCCCTCTTAGGGATCTTTTCCTCTGAGTCCCGGGATTAGCGACCCAGCCAAGATAGCGAATTCCAAGAGTTTTTGTTTTTACTGTGCTTGTACAAGTAGGACTCTATCAGGGCAGAGCCTTCCGCGCACGTTCCGTTATTTGGACGTTTTCAATGTGCTTGGGCGAAGTTACCTGCTAGCTACGAGTACGGTACGAGTACCGTACTGTGCTCCTAGACGGCTGAGACATTGGAAACTTTTGTGCTAAACCTGTCAATTTTGAGACATGGATAACCAGGGAGCATTTAAACCACAACCACAGTAGACTACCATACCGACACTCGAGTCGGAGGGTCAGAGGGTGAAGTGCTCGAGTACTCGTACAAGTATTAGGACAGGGATGGTGGCGATTGTCTACGGAGAATAGAAAAAGTATGATACATATTTACTGTACTTGGATTATCGTAGACTTGCTACTCGAATATTACAGCACACGGGTAGCGTTATTTTCCTTTTTAGGTATCTAGGAGTCTCAACTTATACTAATGAAGGAATCTTTGCACTGGCCCTCTACTCGTATAAGCACAGCACGATACAAGGGTAATTTAGATCATGGATTCAATGTGCTTGTAGCGCAAAACCTTTAGAATACACTATCTCCGCCACGGCTCTACTCGAGTAAATCTCCGTCAAATTCTCGCATGAGTCCATTCTAGGTCTAGTTTGAAGGTCAAGAGAATCCCGAATACCAGTTAATGAGATCACATCCAGGAAACTGAGCTTCTACCATGTCAGGAAAACGCTAACCCCTCCCCGAGCTTTCTCACTCAAAATCCGGAGATTACTGAGCTCGCGGAGATAGTGGATTCTAACGATTTCTACGGCACCGTACTCCAATGCTCGATTACGCTGCTGGGATCAGAGGTTACCGTACGGATCGGTCGCAGAGGTACCATATGGTAACCTCGTCCAAATCAGAGCTCTTGAACTTGACAAATCTAGAACTGAAGAACCAAATATATCATGATCATAGCCACCAGTTTCTGATTTTTTCCTTTCACCTTTCTCATCGCTCACTCATGATCTTGGGTTGGAATACACGCGTCGCGGGTGTCCCGAGATAACCTCCACAGGAGGGGATGACCACTCCTGCTCCACCGTATACGAGTACTCCGAATTAACAATCTACCCTTGTATCCTAATATAGAGAAAACGACTTAACGCTAAGTAGGAATGATTATCTGATAGACGACATAGATAAAACCACAATGGGATCTCACTGCGGGGATGGAACCGCTAACATCCGACATTACCAGCGCCAAACCAGTTCTCTTTATCGGGATACCCTATGACTTGGCGAGTATTCCGGCATAAGTGTGGTCATGTACAGTACTAAGTTAGTACTCGTACCGCATAATCTTAAATAATCGAACCGTGTGCCGTGTCGTTGGTATTACTTGTACCTCCCCTGGTAAAGCCTGGTGTTTTTTTCCCTTTTTCCCTTTTTATGTCTCTCAGAGGCTTGAGTAGCTCTCTTTTTTGTAGCATTTTTCGCCCCTTTTCGAAAGTAGGGAATTCTCGACTCCAAGCGCCGGTACTCGAGTACGAGTAGTCTACAAGCACACGGTTCGATTACCGTATTCAAGGCAATGTTAGCACTGTAGAAGAAATCCGCTTACTATAATAACCTCGCTCTCAGAACCGACGGGGGTGGCACTAAATTTTCAATGTCTCAGCAGTCTAGGAGAATATAATGTTGGCATCCTGCGCCCCTGGGCAGTGCTGGGAGTTGGCTCAAATGATCTTGTGGGCTCCTACATATAGGCGCTTCCCAACGTCTAGAATTTAGGATTCTGCGAACACCTCCAACTCCATCTCTAGAGTGATTTCTAGGGTTCTCTTCACTTCTTCCAATGTCGTATAGCCAAATCCTGTCAAAACGCTTTGAAACCGGGCAAGATTCCCCGGACGGATACAATACAAGGGAGTCGTTGATAAAAGGCTCTCTAAAGGGGCCATTGAAGCCATTCAGCAGTGATGACCAGCCCCGCCGGAACCGTATCCTGCTCGCTCGGGGATTTTCGTTGACCTTTTTCGCCCTCGTCCTCCTTATGATCTGTCTTTGGGCTTTTTCCAAAGAGCACCCGCTGAGCAAGTGGGAGCAACGATCCTTCAATACACTATCAATCCTGCTCACCGCCAGCGCCAGTTTGGGTCTTGGATCGCAACTAGGGCACTTGGGTTCTATGCTCAGGTGGCCCCTACTTGCCCGGACGGTACACAAAATGCGAGACGTGTGGTAACTTACCTCGCTGTAAAGGAATTTTGCTAACTATCTAGATAGGTGGACTCAATACTGGGCATGTCACCACCACTTGGCTCGTTACGACTCATCAAAAGACACATTCGAGAGCGGAGGATATCGCGAACCACCTTTATTGTCGCTGCATACCTCATCACAAATGTAGTTGGGAGATTGAGCGTGGCGATTTTCGGTTTGGCTTACAACATGACCGAGAAAACAGGGATCGAGTATCCAATCCTTGCGACAAATTGGACATCAGCTTTATGGGCTGGTCAGATCTTCTCCAACGGGACCGGAGATACCGAGAGGGACGAATACGAGAGCGGAGAAGGCAAGGAGACCGCACACCAGACTCCGTATTGTGACAATGAACTGGGACTAACATCTTTGACAAGCGCTCATGAATTCGGCATGGAATGGAATACAGCAGTACGCCAAGCTCCCGGACTGGGCTTATGGTGATAACGCTCGCTTTAGTATTGGAGATGACATAAGCCCCTCCTTACAAGCCGATCTCCAAGTGTCTAACACTACTCTAAACCTAGCCGGAAAAAACACGGTTGAATATTCGTACAATTTGAAGGATTTCAAGGAGGCTCGTGCTATACCGTTAAACCATACTGTTCACTCCGCTGCCAACTGCAGCATAATCGAGGTTGAGGAGGGTCAGTATTGGCGCTGGGATAACGGGAATAGAACTGGACCATTCAGTAAGTAAAATTTTGTCACCACTCAATAATCCATGGTCCAAGTGTTAATGAAACTAAATTTTGATCTGATGAATTAGACTGGGGTGAGAGGGACAACGCTGATGTAGTATCCGAGATACTGACGGTGTCGAATGAGACCGATGTCCTCCCGTACTCCGTAACCCGCTGGACGTCATTCCTAGACTCCCTGGGTGGAAGTAGTGTATATCCCCAGATTTGTCAGTACTACCCACGAACATATAAGGCCTCGGGGCATTAACGTCGTGATGTCTCTAGATATTCTATGCGAAAATATTGCTTGGGAATGTTGGCCAACCCTAACCGAAACCGCTGGTGACAATGAATCAAGCCAAATTCAACCTCATGAAAAGTTCTTTCACCCCACAGACCTATATCGGCTCTTGACAGTTGGCAGCGGTGATTACGGCAGTTTGACCCTTGGGTACAAAGATCAGGAGTCGGAATTGGACAGCGATGACCGAGGCCTTCAGGGCTATACCTATCTAACCGGCTTTGGTGGCTCACTGACTGGAGCGGAAGCTGACGATGGAGTGTTCTACCTTTGCAATAGCAGCCTTTTTGAGTCTCATAATGAGGCGGTCTGGGACGGTTATCGCCTTTGGATGGCCAGCCTAATAGCTCGGCTTCCGATCCTCGCCATAATGCACGCCAATACCGCGCTACCCAAGTTTGCACGAGGCCCACACCCTAACCAGACCGCTGGCACCGCATACCTACATACAACCTTGGAAGTGGACTGGTTCCGCGTTCTCCTCATAGCGCTTAGCATTACCGGCGGCCAAATCCTGGTGATCCTGGCTGTCCTCGGCTACTGCACTGGCGTCTACACCCGAGATGATAGCCACCTCGCAACCGCGGAGCTATTGAAAACCGTTATCAATAGATTCGATGGTGGGAAGTTGATGACAGGGGAGGAATTGGCAGCATCTCTTGATGATGTCTTGGAAGTATCAGTTAGCTATGGCGCGAGGCAAGGTCGGGATGGTGGACCGCCGGAGGTGGACTTGACGAGTGACTTGGATGCCAACTTCCCGCCATTTCCACAGGAGAAACCATTCACTGTTTAAAAGATCCTAGAGCCATAGCGGCGGATTCACCTAACTTGGTGGGGAGTTGGGTGTCGGGGGGCTGGCAGATTGTGTGGACATCACAGTTGGGAGAGGTAGGGAAAGGTTTGGTTGGACAGCCAAGATTTTTAGGATCTGTCACAATATTGGGGGATTTTTTGCACCGCGGGAGCCAGCGATGCTGTTAGTTCAAATGCTTGAAAGAGTATATGATAGGGTATGATAGGAAGGTATATTTTTCAAAAGTGAGGGGGCGTTATTTGGGTTGATTTTTTAGTATAGCAAGATCTCACACTAGTTTAGCATACCTAATGGCATACGGGAGTGAGCAACAATCATCAGTCGTTATAGCGGTTATCCGGCATCGCCACATCCTGTATCCATGTTTAGTCTACCGCACATCCTTAATGCCCAATCGCCTACGCTAATTAGGCACAACATTCACATCTACAAATGAAAACTGGAATTACTAGCACTTTCCCCAATTCCTGCTCTCCCATCTACAGTACCGGAACTGCCAAGTTCCACTGGGCAGTGGCCAGCAGGAGAGGGCTTGACATTTCGCAGAAACGAGAAATATCTTACCCAAAAATATCATAATAGATGAATAGCAAACTATTATTTTTATATCCGGGAACGAAAGTGAGTCCAATAGAAACTGAATCACCCAGAACAAATATCGAGAAATTTTTTCTTTAACAGAGTGACTGGACAGGACGAGCTGCTGAGAGGGGAGAGAGGAGAATGAGGAAATAGATCCTAATTCAACTTCCAAGATCCCCATTCCCCGTTCTACCGGACCCACTGGCTCATCTTTTCCGCCCCCGCAGAAAAATATCAAGGCACTTGTAACCCGCTAGTCGCGTACGCGGAAGCGGTATATTCCACGCCACATCCAACAAGATATGTACCTTATGATCGAATGCTAACTTGGAGTTTGGAAATTGGGAAGGTATTCGATGGCAACCCTGCAGGTGATCAGAGATGTAGACTAACATAAGATATACGGCACCATTCTGCAGGGGTCAAGTGTACTCAAACGTCCAAAACTTGGTAGCTTTTCATACCTTGAGACGTTTCACCAATGAGTTAATTCCTACAGCCCGTTGACCACCGGCTTCACACGTGGCCCGGCCGCGTCTTTTAGTCATTGCTTGTAGCTACCAGAAGCCTGCAAACTCGGAAACCGGAAACCGGACGAATGAGAAATGCACAAGAACATGAGCTGATATTCGGGTTGGAAGGTAGAACTGTAGCTATAAGGGGGTATTAGACCAGGCTATATAATAGAAGGTAGATGCAGGAGCAATTATGCACAAGATCAGAAGCATTATCATGAAATGAAACTGGGGGTCCATGTGAGGGCTGCATTATTTTGTATCATACTATGATGCTCTTGTGTTTGGAGGGTCTTGGCACGCCCGGGTATGCCTATCCTTAGATATTCTTCCACCTCCACCCCTCGTGGTTCCCCTCTATGCCCAAGCTACAGGAAAAGACAAGAATGTCGGAGCTCTAAAACCTCTTTGACTATTATAGCCCGGAGTGTGGGTATTGAATACTAGCTATAAGTTAAATGAACCAACGAGATTTTAAAAAGAACAGGACACACCAAAGCACAGTTCCGGCTCCCGAACCCCAGTGCCCCCATCCCCCCTTCATACCATACCATCAACCGGCCGCCTATCGAGCAAATCGGAGAGAAAGCCAATTGGGATATATTAAATCATACCTTTTTTAGCGCTTCGCCCACCGTCTGCAAAACAGCTTTGAACACACTAGGCATCATTAAGAGGTTGGTTCTTCTTTTGAGAGAAACTCTTGAGTGAAGCGTACCATTTGTTGAACAAGATCCATCTCCTCAAAGAGAATCATACCAGTAGGTAAGCGACTTACCCTAGGTACAATTACTACAGCCTTTGCGCAATTGGGCTTCGTAGGGCGGGACTGAGAGTCGAGTGGCTCCTAGCCTTTCTGATAGCCTGTTGAGCTGAATGTTAAATCCCAGCTTTACTCTGATGCCCTTTGCAAATCACCCTTCGAACTCGTTGAGCAAAGACCCCCCCCTATCACCCTTTAGCCAATCCCGCTAACCAGGATACTGGGGTTTCTTCTCCTATCTTACAAAATCAGCCGTTTCGCATCTGCTGCCTCATGGCCCACAAATACCTCCTAGATTCCATAATGGGGCCCCTATAGGCATTAGTGGGTCCTTGTCCTGGTGTGCCCTCGCGCCTTTCACACCCGGAAAGGAGCACTATGTTTGCCGCTTACATAGCAGGCTCTCTGTATGTATCCTTACCCTTTACGTATAAACTCACCGGGCCAGACTAGCACTAGTGTTTGGCTTATCGCTAGTATCCTGTTCTCATGGTTTGATTGACTTAGGTGGAGGTCGACCTTTGGGTGAGCCTCGTCCAGCCACCATTAACCGCACAATATACCCAGTTTTAGTTTGGCGTTCCTGTAGCCCCAGCCCAGCTCTCCTCAGCTCTACGATACTACAGTCAAGGATCCAGCGCTGATGTATTTGTTAGTGAAGAGGTTATAATCGCTTAATTAATTGGCTTGGTTGATTCGGGCATTCTTAAGCCTATATATCAGGACGCGGTGCCCGTGTGACGGCTTGTTAGTAGGGTGCCCGCTCTTGTAGACTGTTTTCTTTTTTTTTTTTTTCTTTTTTTTTTTCTTTTCCACTTTTCCCCTTCCATAATGCCATACTCAATCTTTTTTGAGAGTTGGGTAAGTTAGCGGTCGCTGAGCGAGTGGGTGAGCGATAGAATGGGTGGTCGCAACGAAGCCTTTTTTTTGCCACCTTTTCTCTCGAGGATTTGATCCAATGTTTGATATCCGGGTTGGGCACCGCGGACTGATGGGTCCATGGATGGCTAGGCAAGGATATCTTACGATGGCGCCTGCCTACTCGCCCACCGGCTGACCATCCTGTTTGTCCTTTCTTGTCTGTGGTATAGATTTACGTGTGTTCCCGGGTGACAGGTTGTGAGGCTACTTAATTTGCTCTTTGAAATGTGATAGATACCAACCCGGAGCTTCTGTGCGTCTTAATCACGGGACGGCTTCCTACTGCGTCGTGGGTTACCTCTGCCGAGCAGTCAAATCAGGATACTGGAATTGCCCTGTAGTATTGTTGAGGCGTATCATAAATGTGGACAGATCTACGACTTTATTATTCTATTATTAAATTTTGATCAATTGTGTTGCATGATAATGGTCCAGAAGTGTACGATCTGGTGGTATTTTAAGAGCCCTCCACCCCGCAATTCGATGAAGGAAAAACTGAATTATAAATAAAACATGCTGAGAATGTATTTTCTGAGAAAAGTAAGGAGGAGGAAGGAACGAAGTAGGGAGTTGTTCGACCGGCTTTGAAACGAGCACCCCCTGGAGTTTTACTTCATTTTTTATTTCAAAGGGAATATTTTAATATGCCCTCTTTTTCAATATAACTCCTCTTGAAGGCCTCCGTGGACTTCTCCCATCAGAGTGGCCAATTGGGTGTCAGGTTGTGCATCAGTGATGGAAGCTTATGGATGTTTCTGGAACCCGCGAGAGTCTAGCGGGTCGTTTAAGAGTGTAATAGATTGTTCCAGAGCGATAGTGGTTTACCAACATTCCCCGGATATGTCTTTCCGTTGTTATCACAGGAGTATACGGAAGAACGATTATATGCGTGGAGGGGTATATACAGGCTCAGCGATCCGTAGAAGGGCCAGGATGCTTTGGCCATGTTTTATTACACGCATATTTTTACCAGTAGTTTAGCTCGGGGAGACGGAGAAGTGAGGAAGAAAACGGAGTTATTGACCGCACCTCCCCTGGCTTTTCTACACAGTGCCCAAGTTTCAAGCGAATCCCCCCATCCACCGCTGAGGGAAACTATTTCCCACCTTGAGATAGGGTAGCTGCTCTCTAAGTACGGGTCGCCTATCCATTTCTCACCCAGAAGAAACCAAAAGCATGTCTGGATCATCTAATGCAGCCGCTACCCCGTACCAACAACTAAAAATTCCACTTTCTTTCTTGCTCTCCGGGCTTGGATCCCCACCACTCGCCAAAAGCGCTGCATCCCTAGAACGGCGGGGGGGGGTTAGGTAGGAAGAATGGAGGTTTTACATGCAAAACGCTTAAATAGGCAAAAGTACCGCAGCGAGCAAAATACTACAGTTATCCGAAGCCTGTGGGAGCAAGCACCGACTCTCGAGATCTCAAATATGATCTTTCCGGTACATACCGTAGCTTAGGGGTAGACAGAGGACGGTCATGGGGTCTCACTCGACCTTAAAGGCACTTGGCATGTTTGATGCGCATAAAAGAGGCGACTCAGACTAAGACCCCTAGAAGGAACCCCACCCCCAGGCCAAATGGATCTTTAGTGTATAGTAGTGCAGAGCGTAAAGGTAGAGTGAACAGGCTAAATTAGAACCCAGAAGGTATAAGAGAAGGATAATTATAAACTTTGCTCTCTTGTTCGAAACTCAAATACCGCTACTAACGGAAACCAAAGCATTCTGTGCAAGATATAATAAAAGTGCCCCGCACCTTCCATGGATCACCACTCAGATATTTGTCCCTCCGCACGTGTCTCCAGTCCCCTGCGCCACTTTTCCCCGGGGCAAACGGGGGGGGGGCATATATGCGGTGCCTTCTCGGTACGCAAACGACAATAACCCCAAGTATAAAAGAAATGATCTTCAATGCTACCAAAACATGGAGGAGGCCCCGCATTAGCACCAAGTAGGCCTAGTAACTCCGGGCACTAACATAGTTTAACCCGAGGAGAGGAGAAATAGAGGGGTGAATGAGTTGCAGGGTGATTGGAAGGTAAATGGAAGAGAGATATAAAAATAAAACCAATAAAATGCGATACACCTTAGGTTCTAGTACGAGAGGTGGCTCGGCTCTCCTGGAATGAGAGGGAGAGTTCTAATTAGTCAGGTTTCTACTGTGGTGTGACACTCTGGAAGCTTTTTGTTGAGGGTGGCGACGGGTTTCATTTGACACATAAAATTTCTGCTCTCCATGTTTATGTGAGTTAGACTAAAACAATATTATAATATTATAATACTGCCGTCGTGCTTGTACAGCGTCTTGGGTGGGGGTAATCATAATTTTTAGTATCTCAAGGCCGACAGTAAGTTCCCCGGTTTTTGACTTCCGTACCCATTACGGTCTACTACAGTTTGCCATGACTCTCCTACCATAAAATTATTTACTATCCGGCTCCCCGCCAAGACATGACGTTGTCTAAATGTCGAATGCCAGGCATCAGAAACCTGCGCTTTTGACAACCAAATCACACAATGTAATCAGCAATGAATACATCCCTAAAAAAAAAAAAAAACAGGTATGATTGGGAGAAAGTCATGATAGAACCACCGAAGGTTTTACTTTTCTTTATTTTTAACATTGCTGCTTGATCGAGTGAGTATTCTGCAAGAGGAAATTGTTTTTTGCACAATATTATCATACTGGTATCCTTGAGCGAACAAGATTGGTTTTGGGTTTCAGCTGCACAGGTACAGTACCGAATTAATTCTTGCGGTTCGCTATCTCCGTCAGCTCGCTAATCTCATGACCCAGGGGCAAAAGTGCCTGAGAAAGATTTGAGCTTTTCCTGTCGCGGTGTAGCCCAAGTCCTTTGTCAGTGTTAAATCTCATTAGAAATGCTAGGGGTAAAGTTTTCGCACGGTATCATAGCAATTCATGAATTTATATTGGAATTTACTAATAAATGTAATACAAATCAAAAGGTTCGTGTATTCCAAAACCAAGGAATACGCTACTCCTGCCTGTCATGATACATAGCCGGTCCCGCCCTCAAAGTGACAGAGAATTAGGAAAAGCACGCAACACGGGTTTCGGACTACAACGAAATCGTACTGTACGAGTACAGTACTCGTACATATGGAACCTATCCAGAATGAGTGGCAGTCAATGGCGTAACCACAGAGGAGACCTGCCCTTAGTGGTTGCTCATCCCTCTCGATTAATCGCCCGCCACCGCATCGAGACCGAAAATATCGCCAAGAACACAGATCGGAGTTCGTAATACTCTCTCCAACCAAGAGTCCTCCAAGCACAATATCGTAGTCATCGAAAGCACAGATGTAGGTATTTTGCCATGCTGAGAGGTGATGAACAGCATGTATGCAAGCCAATTTTGGTCTGCATAGGCACGGGACTAGACCCGACTTGTTGGGAGTGATCCAAACTCAGAGGACATTGAGACCATATCCACGCGACCAGTATCTATTTTGGGGATGAAACAGGATAGTGCGTGCGCTGTACACACCGGTCAAGGTCTACTACAATGGGAAGTGAAAACCACAGAATTCGCACCGCTTTAGTGTAAACTTCATAAGCTTAAATGTACGAGTACACTTCGTCTCACACATTCCTTATGGTATCATCCCCATGTGTTTAGCCAATCAATTCACTTGCCTCCTTCGCTTAATTTTTTGAGGTCAAATGAGGCCATCCACAAATAATAATATTCCGCATTCAAGAGAGGGGGCTAAAATATGAAGTGCAGTGATATAATATGTTGATAGGATTTCTGTTACATTTTCTCTTGTTTGATAGTGAACACACACTTCACAATACACTCTACCCACTCAAGACTAATTTAGAGGGACCTGGCACCACTTGACCAATTAAAATTCCACAGCCAATAGAATAAACGGGGGCGACCACAGCCTTCCCCGTCCCTGCTCTTGCTAATCTGGTCCCTGGTTTTCGCCCTGGACGACCTGACCCTGACCCTGGGTTCCTGCGGTCCGACAGGACTACGATACAATACTCGAGAGTAATCCACCATCTCCGGCGACCCGCAATCTCCGGATCCCGAGTCAAAAGCCCCTGAGAAGGAACAACCCTTTCCCGAGAAGGTATAAGATCATCACCCGGTTATCCGCAACTCTCCCAACCCCACCAAACCAATCCCTATGGTGGGTGGGGTACCAAGCTGATAACCCGATACAGGCACACTCCAATCTCTTCCAATCCACTATCTCCGACAAAGACCCCTCTAGCCCCCCAGTACCTGGCAGAAACAATAAAATTTTAAATTTTAAAAAAAACCCTCCATGGAAAGATGAGTGTTTTCCTCACATGGTAAAAGGCCGAACATGCTGACTGTGTTGGATCTCACAAAATGGTATTCGCAATTCCCGCTGATAATCTATCCAATACCGCCAGCGGATTGGACGAGATTATTATGTGGTGCTGTATTTAACTCGTGCTGTCCACTATCACCGCCAGACCTCTGATCCCGGTCGGCCCCAGGATGGGTTCGGTTTGACGGGTTAACGGAATTGCCAATATCAATTAATGGGATCTAACACGCTCAGTATTACATTCAGGGTATACCGTGTAAGGAAACTACTAATCCTTCTTTGGGGGCTTTTGTGCCTAAGACGGAGATTGGATGTCTGGCGGAGATAGTGGATTGCACGAGTTAAATACGGCACCGCATAATAATCTCGTCCAATCACGAGTGTATCTCGCAGGTAAATATGGTACTGTACGGTGCTCGCGATTTCCGAAAGTATGATAGTCTACCTTACCGGTACAGTGCTATCGATCTCTCCGTTCGCCTCGGCGTCCTTTTACGGGAATTGGCATGAAGGATCTGGATAAGGATCCACCCCCCCCCCCCCCCCCGCTGACCCCGGAAAGTTTTTGAAGAAGGAAACTTAGGAGGCGGCCGGTTCCTCCCATAATTTTCATCTGCAACTCTCTTCTTCTCCTCGGTGATAGGTATCAAAGCCCCCCTCTAAAATACAATTGATTTTCCCACAAAAGGTCAATGTATTCCAACCCCACAAAGTCGTTTGTATTCCACCGATAGTCCATCCACGTCCTCGACAGTACCCTAAACTATGATACCCGGAAAATCTGGCTGATGACTTGGCAACACCGAGTGATGTTACCGCCAATTCCCACAATATTATGCAAGCTACCCATCTCGAACAGCGAGCGAATGCTACCGGTACTCTAGTTACAATACAAGTACTTGTAATAGTTTACTCGTAGAAGACGCTGGCCGGGTGCATAATACGCCACAGAAAAAGGAAAAAACAAAAAAATTAGTCAAGAGTCTACCTTCCGCCGCCCATCATGTTTCGTTGTGATCCCATTTTGTGCAGTCAGTCCGAGACGGCAAGAGGCGGGAAACCCGATCTCTTCGTCTCCTCGGTGCGGAGTGGACCGCCGATCCCGGCATGGCTGACCCTCTCCCCACCCCTTCCGCCGAACTTTTCCCATTTCTAATTTTGGGATGTACGGTAATTTCCGGTGTGGGCTCTCAGGTATGAATATCCTACATTCGTTATGGGTCTGACGGAAAGGAAATCGCCGCCATCAGAACGCCGCCGTGATACACACATGTCAATAAACTACGGTGCCATACCTTGTAGATATCATACTAGTCACGTAGTTGATGAAAACATGCACGTGAGAGGGAAAAAAAAGCCCCATTATCAATATTATTTTAAACCACCAAAAAGGCCGCAAATACAAACACTATCTATACATGCAATAACTGTATATCCATCTATTATATATATCCAATGCCTAGATCATCCCGAACGCGACCACCCCGACAAGACCCAATACCACAGCGCTAATGCCACCAACGACCCTTCCGGCACTATTCGACTGGCTGGTGGGGATCGATGAGGAGGCGGAGGAGCTGGAGCTTCCTGATCCACTTCCACTTCCGCTCTCAGAGCCAGAACCAGTTCCAGATCCACTCCCACTACCGGACCCACTGCCAGACCCAGAACCGGAAACGGAACCAGAGCCAGTGCTGTTGCTGCTGGAAAGACCCGTGACCGTCGCAGTCCCATTCCCACGCGTCCCACTGCCCCGAATAGTAGTACTGGTAGCATTGGCAGAGCCGTGGTGGGAAGAGATCTTGATAGTGGACGACGAAGCCGAGGACTTGCTCGAATAAGCGGTTCCCGTTGGGGAAGGAGTCACGGAGGCGTAAGAGCTACCACTGACAGTCGAGCCGGTAGCCGAAGTTGTAGGCGCGGAAACGGCGGTGGACTCGGAAGTGGCGCTTAGAGTGCCAACGTATCCAGGGCAGCCCGGAACTGTGGTCTTCGGAGGAGCGCGTCCGCCGCCGCAGTCGGGGGCGGCGGCCATTGCGGGGATGACGGCCGAGGCGAGGAGGAGAAGGAGTGTTTGGGGCTGCATTTTGACTTTTCGTTTTTTTTTGTTGTTTGTTTAAAAAGTGGTGATGATGGTTGAACGAATTAATGAATTAATGAATGAATGAATGAATGTGTGTATACCGTATATACGAGGACCGATAAACGAGTGACGGTTGGTGGGTGGGTGGGTGAGAGGAGGAAGAAAAAGACTTCCTTTCGAAAGGCGGGAAGGAGGAATTTATAAAACGGATTTTTCCACAAGGGGGTTTTGTCTTGCTTTTTTTTTTTCTCTTTTATTCCCGCTCGCTCCCTCCCCTGGGGGGGGCATGTTCTAGCTGACGGATGTCGACCCGGTGGCGAGGTTGGCGGCACCTCATTTTTGTGACTCCAACTGTACCCACTCTGGCTGAATTCGTGTGCAGTGGGTTGGCGTTACAAGTACCAACGCGCTACTACTACTACAACGAGTACTAGTACGAGTAGTCCCCTAGTGACCACAATACGAGGTCTTGCATGAAGTTTTGGGGTTTTGGAAAGCCTAGAACGGTAAGCGGACCTTATTACCCATTACTAACAGTTACCGAAAACGGACGGACATGGCTAATATCCCCCCTTGCCATATTACAAATCTCGTACAGTGCTGTACGAGTACTGTATCATACAACCTCGCTTGAAAATATCAATGCCTCCCTTCCCCCTTTTCCCCCTACAGTATTCACTTCATTCATTACCGGTATTTCATAACCACTTCTCATCATATTTCCATTTCAGACATCCCGCCACCATCACTCCCGTAGAACAATAAATAAATAAATAAATAAATAAATATCCCAACCCCAAATTGTGTGATTCCGATCGGCCAACCAGAGAACGGTACCAGTACGGTACTTACCCCTTTTCGATCCCAGGGAACGAAGGAATCTCAGGCACCTTAGACTACCCTTCCATTCCCACACCTACCTACCGTACAGCACCTTCCTTGAGTTGTTGGTCAGATCAGACCCAAACAATGTTAAACCTGCACCGCTGAGTCAAGATTCCATTCATGTCGGGCACCTCGGCCGGGGACACCGGGGGAGGTGTTTTGCCCTATTTGGTCGGGTCTGAGCCAGGTTAGTAATCGAGTGACTAGCCGTGCCGTTGGTCGGTTTGGGGAGGGTGGTAGAATACCGGTAAAGGGGTTCGTTCGTTAGGATAGGATGGGCGGGAAGGTGGAGGAGAGGTGAAGTGTGTTTCTGCCTGGATGTGCGTGTCGTTACGGAATTTCGGTCATCTTGAATGACAGCTGCTGCACGGCGGGTGGGAAGAGCTACCCTATATCGTCTGTACGCGAGTGAGGGGTCGTGAGGTTTGGTCTCCGTGGCAAGTAGTGCTGGTGGTGGCTAGAGCATAAATTAGCAAGTCATTAACACGCTTCCGTACGCGAAGCTTCTCACAGTGCCGTTCATCTCATCGTGCACTACCGTACTTGTACAAGTACGAGTACCGTACTGTACCTTAGAAGTAACAAGTATTGTAACCCCCCATCCCATTTCATGACCGCCCGCACATCAACATTCTCTTCCGCCCCGTCCTGTCCTGTCCTTCAAAAATCAAAATCGAACAAAACAAAACTAGTCCCGCTGGCCCCGACCACCGCAACCCAGACCAGCAAAGTCTCAAGTTATGATACTACAAGTATGATACTCGAGCACCGGTGCCAGCGCCCTCGCCTATCTCACTCAAGTACCGGTACAGTATGATACATCAACCCCAAGACACAGGGGCGACTCCCGCCCATTTCCACTTTCCACTTTTGATCGTATGTACAGTACCCTCCCAGTACTCTGCCATAGCTACTGTACGAGTACGATATGATACCAGTAGGACAAGAAATAATTTTATTTCCCTCATGTCAACCCCCCCCCTCTTAGTGAGATAGACAGACAGATGCTGAAAGCTGCGCTAGAGAGTAACGCGGGGTAGGGTAGGGCACGTAAGGGCAACCATCGAACCAAACATCCCTGTTCATGGATGGGAAAGAGAAAAAAAGGGAGGGGGAATAAATAGCTTTCCATTTTGCGGATGAGGAGCAAAGAGAGAGAGAAAGAAAAAAATCCAAACACGGACACCACGCCAAGCCCAGCAAAGAAGAGGGAAAAAGAAAAGAAAAATGCAAAAGGGAAATAAAAAGATTCCACAGTACAGGACACCCTGGGAGAAAGCAACGAGAAAGAAAAAAAGGCTTCAAAGTTACATATCAACATTATGATTCCCATCCGCCCCCACCGGACTTTCTCCCTATAGTAAGTAGGCTACCGGTGCGGTACCCGTTGGTTCCCCAAGCTTCGCGTCACACAGCACACTTCCATCCAGCCGAGTTTACAATAAAGTATAATGGAATTTAAGCATCATAGAACGGAAGAGAAAAAATGAAGAAAAAAGTAGTAGAAAGCTCGGGATTCAGAGCTTAGTTCGTTGTCAAAACACCGCTGCCAGTCCGTGCCGAGAGTTCCGCTTGGAGAACCGTTTATTCGACTTTTCCCTACTGCCGTGCCCATCTCCTTCTCGCCCAGACTTGTCGTGGTGAAACGGTCCGTTTCCGGCCTCCAGGGTGATTGTCGAGGCCGGACTAGATAGGTTGCTGGACATGAAACCGTCGTCAGGTGGGTAATTAACTGCCGCTATTTCTCGAGCCCTGTCGACGGTTTCTAGCCATTCGCTGGCTAGGGTTTTAGGGTCTTCGAAGGTGTAAGTTTTATCGCGCTATGTATATATCACGTCAGCCATACATTTGATGGAGGTGCTCTTAGTGGCAGTTAACTCACGGTATCAATGGCCCAAGATGTGCTACCACTACCCCCTATACTTCTAGCCACAACGCCAAGCCCCTGTAAATTAATTTCTAATTTCATACGCTTGTCATCTCCAGCGGCAGCCACAATTACGCGAGCACACGTGGTTATCATAACCAATCTCTGCCGCTTTTTGCCACCATTACCAAAGAACCTAGCGAATTTCTTGGGTGTTTCCGTATGCCCATTCATACCACCTTTGCCGTCAGGTGAGTGTGGCGCGGGGCTGGTATGAACAACCGCGTTGCCTAGTTTCAATATCCGTTCATTGGATTTTGTGAGCACTGGCGACCATTCGATATCGAGCTGACTCGGAGGGGGCAATTCTGTAATAACACGAGGTGGCTGTGGTCGGGTTACTGTTGCACCTCCATTTGTAGCGCCATTTCGAGGAACAGATGGCTTATCATTCAACTTGATGATCCTCTCCTCGGCTGGAGGTGGCACGTATGGCTTCAATCTAGGCGCCTTGATCTTCCAGAGTTTTCGGCCCCACACAATGCCATCAAAAAACTCATGATTCTTGATATGCTCAATATTGAGCCGCTTGGCGGGATCGAGAACAAGTAACCTCTCCACAAGATCTCTAGCTACCGGAGGAAACCCCTGTGGAAATTCATACTCCAAATCGACAATCTTCTGAAATGTTTGATATTCATTTGCCGCCTTGAACGGAGGTCTTCCGGAGAGCAGCTGGAAAACGATACATCCAAAAGCCCACAAATCTGAAGCTTTGCACGCCGCTTTATCTGTCAAGAGCTCTGGAGAAACATATTCGGCTGTGCCCACAAATGAGTTCGCCTTTGAATCACTCTCCTCTGTGGGATCCCCAGGATATGACATCCCGCTTGGTCCATCCCCGTTCTGTGGGGGTTTCTTTGGTGGGTCTAGAATCTTGGCGGTACCAAAGTCTGTAATTTTGACCCGCATCTGGTCGTCCAGTAAAACGTTCTCCGGCTTCAGATCACGATGTATGACTCCTTTGGAGTGCATATACTCAATTGTGTCCAAAATTTGCGCCGAGTAATACCGGGTACATTCTTCATCGAAAGTGGTCATCTACAACAAGTGTGAGCACAACCTTGTCTCAAAAGGGGACCGCAAACACATACCCTCTTAAGAAAACCAAGTAATTCTCCACCAGCTGCTAGATCCAACACAAAATAAAGACTCCGCTCATCTTGAAATGTATAATACAATCGAACAACTCCTGGATGTTCACCTAGTCTATTGAGGGTATTTTTCTCTATGTTAACGTATTTGACCTTTTTCTCCTTAATGATGTGTCGTTTATCGAGGACCTTGATAGCATATTCTTTTAAGGTTGTCCTATCAGTCGCCGCAAGAACCTGTATTTTGTCAGAAAACTTTGCGCAATTGAGCATGTAAACAGTAACAATCATAGTAATAATAATAAAATAAAATACCGTGCTATAGCTGCCTTCACCCAAAGTCCGACCAAAGCTAAAATCCTTGACTCCTTTTTTCACTACTCGTGTGATGGTGTTTCCGTTAGCATCTATTTCTCTCTGTACTCCCACTGCCGCACCCCTCTCCTTCCACTCTTCACTACTATTGGAAGGGCCGTTCTCCGAAGTGTATAGGCCACTAGCGCCTACAAGGCCTTTATCCTCCGATCCTGATTGGGCCATTACTCTGCTAGAACCACGAGGGGAGTACGGACCTGTTGGACCTGATTGTCGATAAGACCTATCGGTATTTGAACGCTCCCTCTGAGATTGCCTGTTTGCCCCCATTGACGGCCCTGAGAGCGAGGATCTTGAAGGCTCACGAGAAATGCGAGCGTAGTCTGGATGCATCAGGGGGTTAATGGAAGAGACAGAGCCAGTGGAGGAAACATTCTGTGGATGGTAAATAGTTGAAGGTCCTGACGTGTAGGAGGATCCTAGATACTGAGAGGCGGGCCGTGACGGAGGGGTAGGCGGGGGGTAGGCAGCGGACTGCCGAAGTTGCGAGGAAGGCCCTAACGGTGGTGTCTGGGATAAGGTACTGGGAGTGTGTGGTGAATGTGATTCTGGAGTCCGAGGTGAGAGCTGTTGGAGATCAGGGATATGTATTGAAGGAGATTGGGAATTATTCGAAGCTCCAGCATCACGAGGCGACGAGGGTGGTGAGTCGTCTGTCTGATTTGCGATCCTGAGGCCACCCAGCGCCTGGGAGAGGTTCAAATCGCCTTCCATCATTTCTATCTGTGCCCAGTTCACGTCCTCTTCGAAACCAATTTGTAATGAGGGTGCTTTAAATTTGAAGGGAGATGGACCCCGGTAAGATGTAGGGGGGGGGGTGATTATATTATGCGAATTCGAATCGACAAAGCGTTGAGTCTAAATCAAGATGCATCCACGCTCAAAGTTAATGCAGGAGTATGATCTGGTCGCACTAAGAATGGATGGAGAGGTAATGACTAGTGGTTTGTATTGAGTATTGAAAACCACGGGTTGAAATGATGCCTTTGTAAATAAAGACCGAGGTGTGAGATCCTCAACCAGGGTTCTTTTGTTTTTCTCTCGGTAATCTATCGGCGAGAGGGTAAGGGCCTGCCTGTACTTGTGTATGACTTGAAAGGACAGGGTCTCCGAGAAGGGCAGTGTGGGGGGGGTTGGAAAGGTGGGAGAGCGAGCGGGAGATTGGGTTCGGAAAGAATGGGGTGGTTGATGTTCCGTGTCACGGTGTTGAAAGGAGATGGCCAAGAAAAAGAAAAGAGTAAAAAAAAGGGATTGGCTGTCGTGAGAATAATGTTGACGGGCGGTCGTGATGGCAATAGAATGACGGTGGTGGTGAAAGACTTTGACAGAGAGAGAGAGGCTTGTTTGAATGACAAAGTTAATAGATGGTGGGAATAGTTGTGGTTAT